CCCCCAGCGGGCGGGCTAGCGGCGGACCCGGGGGCTGGGGGCGGGGATGCAGGCTCGGAGCGCGGCCGCCACCTCCGCATTCCGTCTGGGTAGCTAGAAAACCTGTAACCAGTTCTGCCTCTCGCTCCCCAGACCCCACCCTCTCCCCTCCCCCTGGTTACACCTTCGGGTCTCCAGGATCCCGCAGAACCACCCCCACTCCCCGCACTCACTCTCCCAAACCCCTGAAATACCCACAGACACATCTCGCTCTCCCCTCAGTGGCCCAAAGGCTTCTGCAGTCACCGTCCTGAAATTCCTCAGCCTTTTCATTCTCTCTGCACCATGCCCGAATCCAGAACCCTTGCCCATCTTCTCCCAAGGCTTCGTATTCATTTTCAGACCTCATACCTCCATCTAGTGCCTATTCCCAATCCTGCCTACCTCAGACAGGAGCCTCCCCCGCCCCACCCAATGTAATCCCACTCAGTGGGTTATCTACTAATGTGTTTGATATCTGGGGGTCGGAAAGGTGCCACCCCTCCCCCACCTTGCATCCAGTAGCTCTTGGCTTCACATCCCTTCCCAACACCCTGTTGATAGTTTAAGCCCCCACGGACTTTTCAGTACCTGCCTTTAGCCTGCACACACACCCTTCAGCCTGCTTCCTCCTTCCAAAGAATTAGCCAGACCAAGAGTGTGGGGTTCTTTTACCTAAGAGTTGTCCCAGGATGCAGGGCTGGTGGCCGGACACTGGGAAGTACTGTTTTCCTGGAACAGGAAGGAGGGATTTCAGGAGTTTTCTTCCGAGTCCTGGTTTGTTGATTCATCTACCTGGGGCTCAAATAATCTGAAAATTTGCGTCTTGTTGTAACTGGCCTTTCTGACAATAGGAACAGAAAGTCCAGATTTCAAATGGGAAGTGCTTTCTTTATTAGTACCTACTTCTGGAAGTTACTTCAACTAGAACTCCCATAGTTACAGATATTTCCTCAAAGAGGGGGGCAGGAATTAGAGATGGCGGAGGGAGAGTGACCCCCCCACACACACACACCCAGATACGTCATACAACGAAACATTCTAGAACGTTGGTTTTCAGTCTTAAACAGGTGCTCTGCTGAACTAGCATATTGTTATATTGTTCTGAGAAAGAAAACTTTTTGTAGGGTTAAAATTCTCTGCGAGGTCAGATGATGGTCAGAGTGGCACTTGGACCAGGATTCAGAGGGGACTTCAATGGCGGCTGTGCTGGGCATCTCAGCGTTCATCGTCATTGGTCCTAGGGCTGAGAATTGGTGATCCTTTCGTCTAAGATCTTGTGCTCATTGATCTTTCTAGTAGGACCTAGGACCCATTAGGACCTAGACCAGATAATGCAGGTGGGATACACTGATAGCAAGTCTGTTTCATGAAGAGTTGGGGCTGAGGACAGGTTTCCATTAATGTCTGGTCTCTGTCTCGTGTGCTAGGTGAGCTCCAGGTGTGACCCACAGGGATCCCGGTGACTTCTCTGCAGACTCTGCCATGACATCCCACCAAGGACGGGGGGAGTAAAGTGGGAATCCTTTCCCATGCCCCTCCCACGGTCGGCTCCCCGATGGCCTGGGTGAGGTAAGAACCGCGGCTAGGTGTCGCTCTGTCGAGTTTCTTGGGAGGAATGTAGGGAACAGGTCAATGGGTTGTTCCAGGCTCTTCCTCAGCCGCAGAAGTTCCTGGATAATCCACAGCCTCGTGGCTTTTTGCAGCCAAGTGAACCTCTTTAGACTGCCGGCTGGGCCTAGAGTGTCGCTCCACAGCAGAACACTTGTGTAGCGAGCGCGGAGCACGGGATTGGATTTTCCACACAAAGACCAAAACAACAACAAAACCTCTTTTTGGGATCTGTCCAAGTATTTCTTGTTCCCTCAGGTCACAAAGGTCTGAGTGGTTTCCTCTCCATATTAAGGCAGAAACCTGTCTGTCGAGACATGTCATCCAATGACCTGAAGGGAAAAGCTGGCTAAGGTCTCTTATCTCGCTTGGTCTTTGGGAAGAAAACTCAGCATTTTGTTAGTTGTTTTAGTTTTGGAGTGCTGAGAATTGAATCTGGTGCTTCATATAAAGTATCTACCCCTGAGCTACATGCTCAGTGCCAACATTTTTTTCCCTCAGTGAAGAAATGCCTAATCAAGGTTTTAAAAAAATCACGCTAGTTTGAGCCCAGCCTGGTAGTATGCGCTCTTTCCCCCAGCACGTGGAAAGTAGAGACAAGAAGATCTCTGTGAGTTCCAGTGTTCAGTCATTAAGGGTGGGCTTGTTCCTGGTGGTGGTGGTGGTGGTGGTGGTGGTGGTGGTGGTTGTTTGGTTTTGTTGTTTGTTTGGTTTTGTTTTGTCTTTTGGTTTTTTGAGACAGGGTTTCTCTGTGTAACTTTGGAGCCTGTCCTGGAACTCACTCTGTACCCAGGCTGGCCTCAAACTCAGAGAGATCCTCCTGCTTCAGCCTCCCGAGTGCTGGGATTAAAGGCGTGCGCCATCACCGCCTGGCTCACTGTGTTTTATGATCACAGTGTAGCAACAGTTTACTTGAAGAGACTATCAGAAATACTAATTTCCGGTGGATAGTGGGGTGGGCAGGGAGGAAAGATAGAGCATGGGTGGAGTGGAATGGGTGAACATGAGGAGGAGAGAAAGGACCAGGATGGTGTCTGGGACACCCAGGTGGCACCACCTTTGCTGAATCCAGATGAGGACCTCAGGCCGTCACACAGCGGAGGCAGCCACTCCCCGGCCCTGTACAGCCATGCTACCTTTCCAGCTCAAGACTCCGTCCTTGTCACTCCGCGGGTCAGAATCCCGTGTGTTTTCCAGGGCCAGCCTGACCGTTAACCTCTGAGACGCCTGCCGTCCCCACACTGCAGGAATTCTGAACTCTTTCTGACGTGAATTAATGTTTACCCCGAGCGTGTTTGGCCGTGGGTTGAGAGGATTCCCTCAGGGTGTGTCTGTGTCATGCGGCCTGGGCCAGAGGACGGACGCGCTCGCAGTGCAGTGGTCAGTCTTCTGAGAGCTGCTTGGCCGGGTGCTGGTGACCTGCTCGTCCCTTCTCTCCCTAGGGTGGACAGGCTGCTCTGACACCATGGGGAGCTGCTGCAGCTGCCTGGACAGAGACAGCGTGCCACACAACCACCCTACCAAGTTCAAGGTACCCAGAGCCTCGCCCCACCTGAGTTCCCGGTGGCCTGTTCGGTTTAGGCCTCCGGTATCTCTGGGGAAGGGGAGAGGACAGGCTGTGGTCGGGGACTCATTAAGGCTCCTTGTGCTTGGCTCTGGCTTCTGAGGTAGTTGGGGGGGGGGTGTGCTAAGCTTTCTTTATTATTTTTGGTTGTTCTCCACGCTCACCCCCCCACCCCCGTCTTACCACCAAGAATAATGTGTTTTAAAGAGAGCATGCGTCCCCCCAGAGAGACTCTAGTGGTGTTTCACTGAACCTTAGCTTGCACATCCCATAGGAGGGGCCTTCTCCTCACACTGGGGTTTCTCGGGGCCAGTGCTTCTCCTTCCCGCCTGGAGAGGGAGCCCTCGGCAGGCTTGCACTGTTGGGGTTGGAGGCTGGCTGTGTTTGTTCTGCCTTGGGCCTGTCAGCAAGTCTCCCGACTTTGAGTTAGCAGTTAAACCCTTCCTCGTGGCCATCCTGGCCTTTAATATTGAGCCCCAGGAAGTCCTTGAACATTGAGCAGCTAGCCACCTGGCCTTGGAGGTCAACAACCTCCTTGCTGTCTGTGCAAGTGGCAGAGAACTGTCATGACCCATGGCACTGCTCTGTGTGACCCAGGGGAGCCAGCGTACCTGTGGTACAGCTAAGAGCAGCTCGGTCTCCCGGCCTAGCCCTGCATGACACTGCCCCTCCCAGTGGCTCCGACTTCCTGGGTTCTCTGCTGACCCTGGCTCGCTCTCCCTCCAGGTGACAAACGTGGATGATGAAGGGGTGGAGCTGGGCTCGGGGGTGATGGAGCTGACCCAGAGTGAGGTGGTGCTGCATCTGCACCAGCGGGAAGCTGTCCGCTGGCCTTACCTCTGCCTGCGGCGCTACGGTTACGACTCCAACCTCTTCTCCTTCGAGAGTGGCCGCCGCTGTCAGACGGGCCAGGGTGAGTACCCACTCCGCCTCCAGGACAGGGACATGAATTGTTACAGAACTGGAGAATGGCCCCGAACATCCGACCCTCGGACATCAGACTTGGCGGTGGTGCCCAGAGCAGGGAAAAGCCCTAGCCAGGGGCCCACAGCCTGTGTTATGAGAATCACGTGGACCCAGACCAGTACTCTCCACAACTCAGTCACTGCTGTTCCTCCTGGGAGCCTTTGTGGGTCACTGGTTGCACAATCCATGAAGTAGCCAGTGCTCCTAGGCCAGAGCCCACCCAGGAAAGACAAACCACTCTTCCCATTGTTGCCGTGGTTCCAGGGTCCTGCTGCCCTTGCAGGAAGGACAAAACCTCTGAGCTATCATGTCATACACCTGGGCCCCATACCCCATAGTGAAGAGAGGTAGGTGGAAGACTGGGCTGCTCTGGACTGAGTGGCTTGGGATGGAGATCTGGGGAAGCAGCATCTTGGGTCTCTCATATACAGATTAACCTTCAAGAGCCCGACCTTTGTCTGCCATCACCTGTGGGCAGTGGA